TGATGTTTAGTGTTAATTATTTAACTTCGTTATTTTATCATCTTTTAATGTATATTATCTGTCACTTATCTTTCGTCATTTTTTATTGTTTAATCGTATCGCCTTTCTATCTTCTTTTCTTTGGATTACTATTTAATATTTTATTAATTATCATAATATTGGTAGGCCGATATTTGTAAGATTTTATCAACCAGTTTTATATCTTATAGCCGATTTTTGGTTAGCTGTTTTTTTATATATCGCCTTCATATCGTCCTATTATATAAAAAAATTTCGACCAGTGTATACATAGTTAGAGAGATACTATGGTCAGTATAGGGAGTATTAGAGTATCACAGTAATATTTGAATATTATATTCCAAGTGCAATTAATTCATCTTTAGTACCTGGGTATTTTATATTCCTAAGTGCAATAACCGTTTCTTAGTACCCAGGGTACTTTACATTCCAATCATTATTATTTTTAATTTATCCATCTTTAGTACCCGGGTACAATACATTCTAGGCCTCTGAAAATCATGAGGGGTATTATAAAAGGGTGTCTTTTAGTTTATGCTATACGATACTTAATAATACACAATACTAGTAATAACTGCTCAAGATTTTATATTACATAGAGAGGCCAAATCTAATCTTTTATTGTTTGCACTTATTCAATATAGACATTTTTAACTTTATAAGCATGTATATATACAATATATAAAAATCTATACTGAATTAATTAGCATTAACATTAACATTAAGCAATACCAATACATAATGCATCATTACACTATTTTAATTTGGGCACTATGGCATATAATAACCAGTTTTCTACACTTTTGGCAATGTCGTTCTCCTTTTTTATTTTCAACTGCCATTACTTTCTTTGGTAATTCACCACCTGACTTGTACTGTATTTTTTGGGTTGTCGACCCTTATAGTGTGTCTGTAATGGATCTTGAACACCTGAGTCATTATTATCTTGATCTTGATCTTGATTTTGATCAACATCATTTTGGTTTTCTCAATAAAATATTTCAACTCATTAACTAAATCATTAACTTTGTTAGTTCGAACAGCCAGGTCAAGCGCTTTCTTAGCATAGCCCATACCAAAACTATATTTTTGTTTAGGACCATGCAATTGTATAATATTAGGTGTTTGCTTAAATCTTATAAGGTGCTAGAATAATGGTTGAGGCAATTCAACAGATTCGGTTTGTCTAACTTGATATGTTGGTATTAATATGTCATCCTGTTTATTAATTTTTTTGCTACTGATATACCAGCATCTAGGAATAAAAGATATGAAACTGTGTATAAATCGAATAAGACATAACCCGAAAGAAATACCTACACACAATGCCATGATTAACAAGCCAAAAGCATGTATATAAATAAGAGCCATTATTGAGCATAATAATATATTGTAGATCTGATTGTTGTCTTAGATGTCTAATTATTTTCCAAACCTCTTGAATACAATTATGAGGTATATCTTCAAGCAAGGAAGAAAATAAAGACTGAGGCTGATCATAGTTATCTTCTTATACAATTTCTTCTTGGTAAGAATCATCCATTGTTTAATACAAAAAAAAAAAGTAATAATTAGTTTGGAGTTTTTAGTTCAATAATAACCTGAAGTACATACTTTTAGAAGTGATAGCCAATTATCAACTAGCACTACATCATAGCATATTGAATGTGTCATTTGATCCTGCTGTTTTTGAAGTATTTGAGGTATAAGGTATTCTTTTAAGATCTTATCTAAATCAGAAAAGTATTCATCTATTATAGTTGGTATTCATTGTGTCAGAATTTCATTTTTGCATTTAGTTAATATTACTCTTTTAGATTGTTGATTAAACAATGATTAAATCTCATAAACAACTTTGGTTAATCGTGAAGTTCTGTTTAGTCTCTCTTTAATAATTTTGTTAGTTACTTCAACTCTCTGGGTGCTTTGAGCCTAGCAGTAAAGTATTTGTTTATAGTATAACTCGCCCAGCTAGTTTTGCAAGAATATAAAATATTTACAAAGTAATTTTTACATTTAGGGTATTTATTAACAAGTTTTTCCCACTTAATCTCAAATTCTTTATAACATAGGAAATTGTATATCTCTAGAAATTCAGTACAAAAAGGTTTAAATTGTTTATTTAATATTCCTTTAAGCTTTTTCCTTAGATTTAAGTTAATGTGAAATATACAATACAAATGGTATGTGTCTGGATAATTTCTTCATACAGCCGATAGTAAAGCAGGATCTGCGTCAGAATATAATACTGTAGGTATGATTTCACACGAAATTTTTAACTGCTGAAGAACCCAGGTGAAAGTTAATTCAGTTTCATCTTCTAAAATTGCTGATACTACTATCAAGTTCCTAAAATTATTGTTGATAACTATAATTAACATCAATATCATGTTAAATTGATTAGTTTTGGATATTGTATCAACTATTACAACATCATGATAATGTTCATAAGCACGAATTTGATTAGGAGCTATCTAGAATAAGAAGTTAAGTTGTCTTTCTTCAGAGTCAAAACGTGGTTTTACAATCTACATAGAATCTTTTTCTTTTTCTGAAAATAAGTTATTGAGCATATTATATGCATCATTTTTACTAGACTTAGCTTGATCTTTAAACCGTTGAATTGCATTGCTTAGATCTTTTTTGTAGATTACTTTTCTTGAAAATAATGTGACTAATAAATTGTATTGTGTTGTTAGGCCTAGTTTCTCATTGATAGTCCAAAACTTGATTTTATCAAGTATTTTGTAAGCTAATTTCTGATACTTAGATGCCATTTCTGCAACCTGAGGATTCATATCATAATTGTGTTTACCCACAATGCTATTAACTTGCATGCTTTTTGCTTTTTTAGAAAAAGCCAAATTGACATGCCATGAACATCCAATTATTTGAGAATCCCTATTTCTTCTATCTTTCGCCAGGATAAATTTTTTAGATTTATATATTCTTGCATATGAATATTCGTATGTTCATCTTCTTGTAATAGTATTGTCTTTGGAATCTGTGATACACCTTCTCTTGCAAAGACTAAACCCTTCCTGTTTTGCATACACATTAAGGTATGATTCGGCAAGTTTCCATGTTTCAAAATCTATTTCTTCGTTTAGTACTAATAAATCACTATTTTCATTATCATACTCATTACTCTTCTCTTTATCATATTCATTATCTGCATTTTTCGGTTGAGTTTCAATATCTAATTTAACAAGCATACTATTAAAATCATTGTCATTAAAATGAGATGACGAAGTTGTTGAATTTTGATTATATTCATGATCAGATGTCAACCAAGTATTTGTATTGCTATTATAGGTATTAAAACATAGTGACGACAAAGAATTTGCAGCATTAGTGTTAAAGCATCAGCAAAATATATAAACGTAATCTTACGTAAGTTATTACAGACCGAAATCTTGCGCAAGAATTTTGCAATGACACAGAATCTTATGCAATTATCAATTACAGAATATTACGAAATATATACATAATAAATTACGCAATATTACGCAAATTAAATCGCAATAATTCACAACAAATTGCAACTATGCGCTATAAACTGACGTAAGTAGTAATATGAATAATGAAACTTTAATTATAAAAAGACAGAATATTGCACTGTTTCGATTTAAATTGAATATAATAGAATTAATTCGGCATAATTCAAAATAATTAAATAATTCAAATTCTTTTTTTTTTTTTTTTCTTCTGCTAGTAATAAAAATGTATTATATAAATATATTTGAAAAGTATTAATTTATGATTTATTTGCAATATTACTCAGCCTGGGAACTTTAATTATGGTGGAAGGGAGCCTTGATATAGGTCCTCGGACAACAGAGCCATTCGAATTTGGTGGGAAGGTTAAAAAGAAAATTTTAATATCAAGGTAGAGCTTTACCTTTACAAAAGAGATATACAAATGTTGCATTTGTTATATAATTTTTACTAACCTTGCACGGGTTATAATAGTGCCTTTAGGGTCTTAGTTTTCTTTTCATGTTTTTTTTTTTTTCGAAATCTGTGTTTATTTTTTCTTTTTGTTTGTTTGTTTTTCTTTTTGGTTATTTTCGTATTTGTTTTTTTGATTTAAACTTTTTCCCCTTTTGTCTCGTGCTTTTTGAGAAGAAGGAAGAATTAGAAGAGAAAAGAGGTCCTGAGATGGGAGCTGAGCCCCGGCTATATTATATCTTTAAATATGGCACACCGTATGTAGGGTATAGTAGCCAACATCAGTGCAATAACCAAGGTTGGGCATCTTTAAGAGACAGCTGGCTTTTAGTCTAATTCCCTATTAAGTAGCTTGGTTTTGTATTAAGCATTATACATTTAATAAAATTTTAGTATGCGGTTATCAAAGGAAAAAAAATATATATATATATATTTGATATATCATCGATATTGAATCTGAATTCAAATCATATAGATCAATTATGGATACTAAATTTTGAAATCTCTGAAGTTATTTTGAAATACTCTATAATAAATTACATAATATTCTATAATAAATTATATAATACTCTATAATAAATTGCAAAATATTCCATAATAAATTATGCAATATTTTGCCTAGACTATAATTCTTGTATAATATTATAGTCATAATATTTTATATAAGCTTGCGTTTATATATTTTGCTAATATATTGCTTGTTTCTAATATAATTTTAGTAGCTTTCTAGCAGTTTTTTATGGTATTTTTACTAACTTCCCCCCAAGTATTAAAAATAAAATTGTTTGCTTTTTTTAAGATAAGTTTTCTATATTATATAAAACTATTAGCATCTAATGATTTAAAATAGCATTAAAGTTTTATTTTCTTATAATTTTTTAAGTGATTAAAAGTGTAGTAAAACTTTTATAAATGTATACACTTGAGATTGTTGTATATCAAATTAAAATATGTATTATATCAAAATAACTATAATGCTGCTAATATCTACCTCTACCCCAACAAGGATTTTACTCTAACCCTAATAAAACTTGATATTTAAATTTTGATCTGATGCAAATTTTAGTTTGACATACAATCTATGTATATTTTAGCTTATAGTAGTTATACTTATAGAGGTTTTACTGTAAATTTTTACTTTTGATTCTTATTTTTCTCGAATTGGTTTAGTAAATAATAACAATACAGGCTCTTATATCTTGATTTAAAACTTTTAATTATGCCAGTATCCATCAGTTGGAGATAAGCTATTGTATTAGACAGAAAAAAATATACTAAAACATTTGTTAGATAAAAGTTCTCTAAAGTTTGTCTTGATTGGCTTGAATGGGTAGAATTGTATCTTTGAAATCCTTGAAATCATTTTTATGGGTTTCTCTGGGGATCTTGTTGATCTTCATTAGAATTATTTTATTTTAATTTTCTTTTTTGAGTATTTATACTTTATATTTTTTTTATTATTCAATTTAACTTTAAATATCTAACCTGAAAATAATTCTTCAGTATCATCTTAAACTTCAGCTAGATTATTTGTTTCTGGGAGTATATGAGAAGCTATATTGTTAACAAGAAGCAAAACCTTCTTACCTTGAATACAAAAATCATTATTGATAAATTTTAGCCAATTTTTCCAAATATTATTTCTTATCCATGCTATTTTATTATTTCAATAAGTTATTAGTAGTTGTAATATATTTATCTTGTTAAAAGATCATAGCTTTTTTAAAGTGCCAATAACTAGTGGCTACAATTTGTCTGTACTGGTTGAGTTAAAGCAAAGTAATACTATTACTCTTGCTTTATTCTAAAAAAGAAAATAAAAAAATAAAAAAAAAAAATGATTTTTCTTATTTTTTTTTTTTTTAATACTAAACTACTTTTTTTTTTCTAATAACCTTTTTTTTATTTGAAAGAGTTTGATTAAAGAGCAATTAATAAAAAAGACTTATTTCATCAGCATTATAGATACTTTTAGAGCTATAATGAAATAGAAGTTCTTTTAATTTAACTCATTTAGCAGGTAAGCTTGCTAAAGGTGCACTTGCAGCCTCACTATATATTAGAGTTTTTTTTAATCTATTATGTTTTTTAAATTTAGCAATTCACCTATTTGAAAATACAAGTAATTCTTCAGGTCTGGTGAGTGTTTGTACAAATTTGGTGGTCTTTTTCTTTTATTAATAACCTTGATAAAATTATTTTTTCCACAGTAACTTTCTCTATCTACATGTTTATAGTATGCTCTAATATGAGATACTTCACAAAATGATAGTAAAAAGTATTTTTAGACTATATATTATCTTTAAGTAATTAATATTTATCTGTTTTCTTTAATATTTTGGATATAGTTGTATAATCAATTTTCAAATCTGGATAACACTTTATGAACTTATCTGCAATTTCTTGTTGCTTATAAGAGGATTTTTTTTTGCAAACTTAAATTTCTTTTTTTTGTTTGTTGCTAATATGATCACATCTTTCTACTTATAATATGCTAATCTCTGTTACAAAAAAAATAACAGGCCCCATGAAATACCTTTGCATCTGCAGGGGTATTTCATAGGGCCTGTTACTTTTTTTGTAACAGAGTTTAGCATATCATAAGTAACTCCATTAATCAGAAATTTTTAAAGTCCATCTTAGTGATGATATTATATGATTTTTGCTATTTTGCATTCCTGCAAAATTGGCAAATTCAAACTTCACCAAAACAGAGTTTGAAACTCTGCCAATTTCACAGGAATGCAAAATGGCAAAAGTTACATGAAATGATGCAGAAAACTTGCCATGAAATGACATAGAGAACTCCCTATAAAGTAATATATAAAACAAAGCAACGATGGCTCTAGCAAATGGCGAATCTAGCAAACGGCAATTCAAACAAACAAGCGAAATATACGTAAAAAAAAGTTAATTTAAAAAATAGAAAGGTAGAAAAAAGGCGAATGGAATAAAGAATGAAAAATGAATATAAAGAAGAAGAAAATAAAAAAGAAAGGGTGAAAACAAGAAAAAGAGAAAAAAAAAGGAAATAAGAAGATGAAAAAGAGGCAAAAAGATGGAAGAAAAAGAACAAGAAGGAAGAAAATCAAAAGGAAAAAATAAGGAAAAGAAAAAAATAAATAAATAAAAAAACAAAAATTTTATATAATAGGGTTGGACTAGTTTTTTTAACCAATTATATGATCCTTGGTCTTTGGTCTTTTAACTAGTTTAAACCGATTAAGAATAAACTATTAAAATAAGTTTTTAAATAGTTAAAAAAGCTATCAGTTATTATTAATAAATTATTATTATATATAATTATATAAATAAAATATAATCTAAATAAAATATCTAATTATATTATTAAAATCTTTGAGT